AAACGACCTCAGACCTCAGACCTCAACCACCAAACGCTGTGATCCCACCTCGATATACAAGCAATCCTATATAATGTAGAAGACGATCTTGTGTGTATAACCAGGCTATATATACATATATACTACACATATATATAGACGTGCTTCCATTATATGGTACATATGTGCTTTTTTTATGCACATCTGCCTCATAAATAACGTGCCCACCATTACTTGGCCGCGTCGGGGTGACCAGGGTTGTCACACTCATGAGCGCGCGTGAGAATTGAGAATTCTGAAGTGAGAGAACGAAATTCGGATAGAATTCTCATGCATATAGATATCTGGCATGGGGCTAGCGCTGCTGCGATTTTGGCATTAGTATTAAGTCGGTCGAGGTACGTCCAGCACGTCGCACAGTTTCCGGTAGACACAGCATCTGATTTATAGATATATATATATACTTAGAGTACTAGCCTAGAGACACAATATGGCTGAACAAAAGAAAGCACCGCTCTTGAAAAAGGAGGAGGACTTCGTCAAGGCTCTGGAAGGGTGAGTACGAAGCAAATAGATATGCGAGCAGGCTCTCAATGCTCTGTGACCCGTGCTTAGCTTCATCACACCCGAAAAGGATCAGGTGGCCCTGCTGTTGGACTACGATGGCACACTTGCGCCTCTGACCGAGGAGCTGTCGGTGATGCCCAAGGATACGGAGATCAACATCAAGAAACTGGCTGCCAACGATAAGATTTTCATGGTTGTCTTCTCCGGCCGTGAGCTGAGCGAAATCAAGAACCATCTGAAATTCCCCAATGTCACCTATGCCGGCAACCATGGCCTGGAGGTGGAATATCCTTCCGGCAAGAAGTTCAAGATCGAAATGCCCGAAGAGCTGCTCGAGAAGCACAACAAGCTGGTCGCCGAGCTGAAGGAGAAGGTAAAACAAATCGATCATTAACCACTATGAGATGAATACTTATCAAATTCTTATTAATTTCCCATTCCCAGGTCGTTTGCTCCGGCGCCTGGGTGGAGGACAAGAAGATTTCGGTCACCTATCACTACAAGGGCGTCACCGACAAGCTGAAGGCCAAGCTGATTGCCGAGGCCAAGGGTCTGATTCAGTCGCACGGCTTCCAGCTGATCGAAACGCCATACGCTCTGGAGGGCAAGCCACGCGTCAACTGGGACAAAGGTTAGTGCAACAACTAGCAACTAGTATGCGATGCGTGACTAACCATAGACTAGACCAGCGATCATTCAATTAATATGCATCATCGATATGTCTCGATAATCTTGGCCAACTGTTGCCGCCCATTCGCTGTCGTCTGCGACGTCGCGTCGCTGCGCGTCGGCACCTGTTCAAAACAATTCGATTCGAGGCGCGACTCTTCGATGATTTAATTATTGCTATATTTTCTATAAACGACGGGCGCAAAAAAAATAAATAAATAAATAATGCCTTTTCTCAGCCCGGGCCATGTGGGCGGCTCTTGTGCGCTGATATTTTTCAAAATGAAAATAACAAAATATATATCTCAAAAATTTATGTGGACAGTCGCCACAGCAGTTCGTTTTTTTTTTCGCCCCTCTTGACAAACAAGCAGAGCAAAACCTGATGTCAAAAGCGCGCCAGCAAACGATCTATAAATCTATATATATATATATACATTTGCTTATATATGCTCTTCTATATACATATATAAACATTTACTTGCTTACTGATAAATTTTGAAAAATTTTGTACAATTTATCATAGAAATTTTCGCTTTCATTTCTCGAATTGTTCTGTTTTTATTTTTCCCGCATTTGACTTGAGTTATATGAAGATTTCTATTTTAAATATCTGTACATAACACATACATACATACATATGTGCTGTACATCAAAATTCATTTTTGCGGTCTATATACACTTGTCATTATGACGAGACACTGAATTGTTTCTATTTGCAGCTAGAGGGTATTTGAATTTTGCATGCGAAATTTTGACAAACATAAGAATATATATACACTTACATATATTATTGATCGATATCTATCTATGTAGAATATCTAGAAATCGTATTCTGAAACAAACAATTTTAATTAAAAAAAAAAAAAACATAACATACAAGGGTATTAAATATTTGTTGCTCCATTTTTTTCTTCTCTTAACTACGCGCAACTAATTCGGAAAGATTTTTGCTAATGATGCATTGCTTCAAAAGACCTATAAACTATAAATGTAGTCCCATGTCGATATAAACATAAATATATATATATCTATGTTTATATATTGCGTGGGTTTCAGCACAAATCCGAATCAGTTTTTATGTGCAAAAATGTTTGGGCTCATTCCCTAATGAGTTTTTAATGCAAAGCATAAAGGAAACTTATTTCCTAAGTTAAAAAAGAAAAATGCCAACAAAAAAATTAATTACTTATATATCCATATATTTAAGAACAGCTACGAAAATACCAAATTACTCAAAATAAAATATAAAAATAATGGTAAAGTATTTATAAATATTTTTTCGACAAGAGCTAAGCGCAATATTAAGTCAAAAATTTTGGACTTTTTATTAACTAAATCCTTTACTGTATGTCGTAAATATCTCTTACAAATTATTCCACACTTAAATCATATTTTGCTCTTTCAATATTATCTAAATATGCGACTTTAAAATGCCCTTTGATCAAATATTATAAAGAAAAAAAATTTTGCTAGTCATAATTTAGATGTTCCACAAATGAATTCCAAACGGAATTCATAAATATTTTCAAGATGAGATGACGAAAAAAAAAACGATAAACAAATCCCAGTGCAATTCAGACAACGTTCCAAAAAATATATATATGTATATACTTATATATAGAAAAAAATCTTGTCTAGCTGAAAGCAAATAAGACATTTCCAATGAGCTGCGACAAATGTGCATAATTCAAAAGACAACAAAATAAAATTTAATTATATAGCAATAAATTTGTGTAGTGGAAAAATCACACAGGAATATATATATTTATAAATACTTATTTTTTATATTCTTATATATGTATATGCATGGATTTTTTTTAAAGCCTGCCGAGCGCAATGGCAACAAAAGATCTCGACTGAATTGTTGGTGCCGTCTGAAAAAAAAAAGAACAACAAAAACAATTTTGAATGCAATACTTTTTGGGTTCGGGAACCGGCAGGAGACGTTGGCTAATGCGTCATCAATTAAACAAAAATTTCTCGTTAATAGGTGGCAAAACAACAAAAACAACAAAAACAACAAAAAATACAAACAAAAACCGAAAAACTCGCACAATTAAAATAATCAAAAAGAAGCTCTCTATAGATCATACATAGAGATAAACACATACATATGTACATTATATAGAAAGGAGGAGAAGAGAGAGAGAGTGAGAGATAAAGAGTGAGAGAGACTGAGATGTGGTTTGCATAGACTTACTTGACGTGCCGCAGCCCAAACACACTTTGCTCACTCCACGCCCACACAAAACACCTAAAAATAACGGCTAGAAAATACAAGAAAAACTGAAAATTGAAAACTAAAAACTGAATATACATATAGATAAATCTCTAGCTCGCTATCGCTGCAGGCCCCTATAGACTTATATATAGCGAGTGAACTTTTCAAAATATTTGGAAAAAAAAAAAGAAACAACAACAGAACTTGCTTTGTAACACTATATTGAGTCTTGTGTTCCAGAAAGCAAATGGAAAAATGTTTAAATATAGCTAAGTGGATAACAAATTGTAAAATGAACATGTATTAGTTTAGATAGAAAAAGAGTAATATGAATTTATATTATACCAAATTAATTTAAAATTTGAGCGTTATACTCGTAATTTAATTTATATTTATATAAAGTTTATAGTAGTCAGAAAGACATATATAAATATGAAAAATATGTTGATTTGGTTTTGATATTAATATGTATAGCTTACAGTAAAAAATAAAAAATAAAAAATATTAGACTCATCTAATAACTTATAAAGCAGCCTCTTGAGTAGCGTGATAAGTTAATCAAATTTAACTACGCATGCTTATTTGCCTATATACATATCTGTCTCTCTGCCCATACTCCTCATAATATGTCTCTTCATCTGTCTCCCTGTCTGCTCAACAAAGAAACGACGAAGAGCTGTAGATCTTTTGAGTTGTCCATATGTATGCAGGAGTACTTGTTAGGTATTAAGTAAAGCGAAGCTAAAGCGCTTGCACCAGCAGAGAGCGCTCCCATTGCTCACTTCATGTTCGACTGCAACGAATTCTACCTGGCGTCGGGCTCAACGTTTGAGCGCTACTCAGCTCGAGTGAGAGACGTCCTATATAAAGGGCATCAGCTGTGGCATTTCTTCAGTCGCCCAGGCCTGATGGGGGTCAGTCGTGCAGTGCAGTAAAGTGAAGCGAAGTGGAAATACTTTTAAGAAAGACTTAGAGGAAATGGAGGAAATACTTAGATGAAATACTTGGAGGAAAGACAGAAAATAAATTCTTTGAGGAACAAGTTAGAGGAAATAATTAGAGGAATAACTTGGAGGAAATAATTAGATGAGACACTGTAACAAAATACATAAAGTCTTATTTGTATATATATTTATAATATATATGATTTACATATATAGATGAATATTTATTTGCATTGTACATTTTTCTTTTTTTTTTATTATTTTTTGCAGGAGAGGGCGCCAAGATGATTCTGGAGAAACAATTCGATGCTGATTGGGCCAAGAACTTGAAAATCATCTATGTGGGCGATGATACCACCGATGAGGATGCCATCAAGGTGCTCCATGGCATTGGCAAGACCTTCCGTGTTTCGGAGCTGCCAACGCTGAAGACCTATGCCAACTATCAGATCAAGACCGTCGAGGAGGTTGGCTGGCTGCTGAAAGCCGTTCAGGCTAACTATGAGAAGAAGAAGAAGATATAAGCGTTGCGGCTCGCTGTAGCTTAAGCTAATTCCACACTCACACACACACGCACACAAACACAACACACATATTAGCTGTTGTCTTTTTTTAAAAATACAATATTTATTTCTCATTATTTTGTATGTATGTATGTAATTCTTACAGATACAGTTCCCTTAAATCAAATGTTTCACAAACTATTCTCTGTCTTCACATAATTTATTAATAAATTTGTTACGAAGCTTCTCCTTGTCCTCAGTGGTTCCGGGAGCATCTGCTTTATCTGCGCTCCGCTTTCAGAGTTCCGGCTCGGGCTGTGCCCGTTCGACCACCACGCGCTGCCTGCTTCACAATTGTCGGTGGCACCACAACGGGTGGCGTTGGATTGGGTGGTGGCTGCACAGCGCCAGCTACCACGCCCACGGGCGTCGCGACTGGCGTTTGGACAGCGACCATGCCACCCTGGGCCACAGGTGTTTCGGCCCGCTTGGGCTCACTCATGTTGAGCGCTTCGTTGAAGATCATACAGAATTCGCCAATCTTGAAGACTTCGCCATTTTTGCCCGAATATAGTGTGAGGCAGTGACGCCAAATGGACGCATAGCCCTTAGTCAGTCGTATGATGTCGCCCGGTGTTATCAGCTTGCCGGGCTCGTCCCAAATGGAGACATTGATGCTGGCTGTGGGATCGCCCACTTTGAAATTGCGCACCTCGCGGTTCTCTTTCGTGACGGTTGCCACGCCCACCTGGTAGCAAGTGCATACAAATGTAAACAAATTGGCCAAAACAGTTTGTTATCGATAACAAATACTGACCTCGAGTACTATGAAAATAACATTGATGTTTTTCAGACCGGGCTTAATATCCTTTATGGCAATGCATTCTGCGTTATACATGACGGTGTTCAGAATATTTATTTCTAAATGTTTGAAAGCAGTAAAAGTATTTAATATAATTTTTTCCAGAAGGACGCCAAATGTGAGTGCACACAAATGCCACACACAAAAAACGCAGCGAATCAGCTGTTCAGCTATTAGAGATGTGCGTCAGTCGGTTTCTATTGTAAACGATTATTTTTTACAACTATGAAACAATTATATTGGAAAAACTTCCTATGATTACTTAAGTTAAAAAATTAAATAAAGAACTTGTGTTTAAATACGTATTTTAATTTTTTTGTTTTGCTTTTCTAACACAGTCCAATCATTCTTTTAAGTTCATTGACAAAATAATCGTTTGAGACTTATCGGGCATATGTGACGTCACAGTCTTACGCTTAATGATTATTTAAATACAGTGTGCTATATAAGAAAAACTTAGGCTTATTCAAACTTTCAGCTAATTAAAAGCAACAAAATATTTAGAATATTTTTAGATTTTGTTATGCACAATGAGTTATAATACTTGAGTAACCTTCTCAGTTCGTGCCAACGGGACAGCTGTTCGCTCGAAATGCCACCACGAACTAGTTCAGTGCTGAACTATATAACTCATTTGTTCACTTTGCTGCAAAAATAATACAAACATCAAATTTTCGCAAATTCATGCTGAGAAATTGAACGCATAAAATAATAACTTAGTGCAGTGCATTCTCACAGCAAAGGAATTGCACCCAAGTGAAGAAAAGCAGAAGAGTCGCATTGCAAGCGAGCATCAAACAGCTCTATTTACGTTTTGTTTATCAACATGGAATCTGGCAGCAGCTCGAGCTCGACGTCAGGCAGCAGCTCATCGAGTGGCTCATCCAGTTGCACCGATACGGGCAGCTCGTCGGACACCGACTCGAGCAGTTCGGCCGTCGCTGGTCCTGAGGAAAAGCCACAGCCAGCAAAGACACAACCAGCCGCTGTGCGTCGCAAGGCGGCAGCGACGCCGGCAGAGAATGAGAAGCCGAAAACGGCGGGCAATAACAGCGCTCTGAGCTCTGCCTCCAGCAAGGTGCGCTCTGTGGTGGCGGCCAGCAATCAGCGCAACGGTGCACTATCCAGCGATGATGATGACGACGACGACGATGAGCCGCCAGCGAAGAAGAATCCACGCACCATGAGCAACAACGTGGCATCAGCGGCCGCCCGCCGCAAACCGTCAACTGGAGCGCCGGCCAAGCAGGCAGCGAGCGGACCAGCCGGTAACAGCAAGGCGCCGCAGACAGCCAAAGCCACGGCCCAATCGCAGCGCAACGGGGACAACAAGCGACCGTCGCTAAGCTCCTCCTCCATGAGCACGGATGACTCGCACAAGGATGTGAAAAACGGGCGCAAAGTGCCGCTCAAGTTGGCCAGCACTGCGACCGCTGTGCGAGCCAAGCAAATACGCGCCAAGGCGCTGCAGGCCAAAACGAATAGCGCCAGCAACAGCAACAACAAGAATGGACCAAGTACAGCTGCAGCAGCTGCAACGGCCAGGCGCGGGAAGAGCCGCAGCAGTGATGGCAGCGATGATTCGGATAGTGGCTCAGGCTCGGAGACGAGCTCCATTAGCGAGTCGGAGGGCACGGACTCGACCAACTCGTACAGCTCTCAGCCGGCGACAGGGAAATCCAATGCCAAGGGCAAGCGCGCTGCTGCTGGAGCCGGCGATAGCGAGGAGGAGCGCAAGGATAAGGCGAATCCCATGCGCAAGCTGACGCGTTCGCTGAGCATGCGCCGCTCCAAGCAGCAGCAGCTGAAGCCGGGCAGCGAGAGCGAAACGGATGCGGATCTCGACAAGGAGGACGACAAACAGCGCGTGCTCTCCAAGAGTCCGGCCAAAAAGCCGCCCACCGCCCACATAGGGCTCAACAGCAAATGCAAGGTGAAGAAAGAGATGAACTCAATGAAGTCGCGACCCGTTTCGCCGGCCATTCAACTGGAGAAGAAGTGCCCCATCGAGGGCTGTGACTCGTCTGGCCATTTGAGCGGCAACTTGGATCGCCACTTCCTGCCCGAAGCCTGCCCCATCTTCCACAACATGTCCGCCTCGGAGTGCAAGGAGCGCGCCAACGAACGCAAGCTGCGCAACGAGCAGCGCCTCAAGATGCCCATCAACATTGTGAGCGCGCCGGGCAATCAGAACAGCAATCTCAAGTCCCTGACGCCCGAGCAGCGTGAGTTCCTGGCCAAAATACGCGAATCACGCGCCAACTTCCGGCCCATAAGCAACTCGTTCTTGAACGACAAGGTGAATATATCAATGCCCAATGTACAGTTCATTCAATAAAGCTTTTCCTGCTTCCAGGTGAAGATAGACAAAGACTGCACGGACGAAGATCGTGAACCGAATCTCGCTGGCCTGGTGCCCGACTACGATTTGCAGCTGTTTCGCGAGGCCCAGGCCCTGGCCTCCGAGCGCATCGAGGACGAGCTCAAAGATCTGCCCGTTGGCAAGGGCATCAAGTGCGTTCTAGTTTACCCTGCCTCAAGTTTATATTTAATCAGTTTCCTTGCAGATACATCAGCATGGGCAAATACAAAATGAAGGTGTGGTATCAGTCGCCCTATCCGGATGACGCCGCCCGCCTGCCCAAGATGTACATCTGTGAGTTCTGCCTCCGCTATCAGAAATCCGAGACGGGCATCAAGCGACACGCCCAGAAATGCGTCTGGCGTCATCCGCCCGGCGACGAGATCTATCGCAAGGGCAAACTCCAGGTGTGGCAGGTGGATGGCAAACGGTATAAGCAATACTGCCAACACCTGTGTCTGCTGGCCAAGTTCTTCCTCGACCACAAGACACTCTACTATGACGTGGAGCCGTTCCTCTTCTACATCATGACACTGGCCGACGTCGATGGATGTCACATTGTGGGCTACTTCAGCAAGGTGAGCTATTGGCATGACGTGGATTAGTTGAGGAATTGTTGGATATATAAGTTTATTCAATTTACAATTTAAAATTCATTGAATCTTATGCTAAAGCCCAGTTATGTCTGCTTAACTAACGTTGGCATTTTAATTGGCTTTATATTAGATCTCGTACCATGTCTCTCTTCCATATCCTTGGTCTTTGTCTCTGTTCCACACCTTTAACAAAAGTCTCTTTGCTATGTCTCTCTTCCACTTCTCTATTTCATCTCCTCCATATCTGTGCTCCATTTAGACATATGTTTTCCCATATACTGTCAACAGTAATTCTTTATAAATGTGGATCAACTGCAATATCAATTTCTTGTTCTGTATAGCATGTATACATATTATATCTGCCTAGCTCGTACTATGTTTATATGATATGCTGGAACAACCGTTTAATCATAACATTCGACATTCCCTTGTCATTCAACTTGTTGTACGCTTCTTACGGACAGAAAAAACTTTAATCTTTCAACATAATTATTGGAATAGGGGATCGTTGCGAAGACAGTTTTGATACTCTCTTTGAGGCGTTCACATGACCTCAAGCTTGTCTTTATTCTTGAGGATGGTAGAAATCGTTGATTTCGGCAAGTTGAATGTACATTAGTCCTAAATCAGCCACGCCCAAAGAATAGTTTTAAGTTTCATATCAATAGATAGTATGGCTCTCTTATTTTTCTCTTTCTCTGAATTCTCTTTTGAAGGCTTTTAGGTACGTAATTTGCAGTTTTAATAGAAGCTAAATTAAAAATTGAATTACTATTCAATTTATTTGCACTTGAAACAAAAACTAAACACACTAATGTGTGCAAAATAGTGCATTATAATGCTAGAACGGTCAATAGGCAGCAATATAATGGAGTACTCAGGGCTTCCCCTATATCATTGAAAACTGACAGAAATTTTGCGTAAAATAAATGTTTACAAATTTTTTATTTGTCGTTAAAGTAAATACTATATTAAATATTATATTATAATCTTTATAATCTATTGGGCCCCCTCTTAAAATCATACCCTACTAAGTTCCCTTTGTGGAATTTACGTATAAACTTTAGTTTGTTACTTGCAATCAAATTGAATAATACCATTTCACAGTTTTATGATTCTTTTATGTCTGCAGACAGAGCCGAGCTGAGCTGAGCTGGGCCCAGCCCAGAACCGCTGAGTATACAGCATCCCGAATCCCATCCAGAATCCATGTAATACATGGGAGATGGATAGACTCTGCTGCTGCCGCTGCCGCTGCCGCTGCTGCTATATGCCCAGACAGGCGGCATTCTTGACCATACCCAAAAATTGCTTTGTCAACCGCGCTGGGGCTGGGGTAAATAAGCTGACACCAGCCAAGGGGCGTGTCAGTGCGGTGTGTGGAGATTTCCCCAGGAAAACTACAAAAAAATAACAGCCATGCAGAGAAGCAGAAGAAGAGAAAAAAAAAGCATAAACACAAAGTATATTGTCTGCCATGTGCGCACGGTTTCTTGACCTCCCCCTGAACATGGCGTCTAGCCGAGCTCTGCAGCTGCAAGATGCCTCCACAGCGCCCTCTCTCCGTCTCCGTCTCCTTCGTCCTCCGCCTCCTGCTCCTGCTCCTGCTCCTGCCGCCATCTGCAGTTGCATACAAGTTTTTTGGGCGCTGCCAGAGACTGGGTTTGTGTTACAAATTGCGCATGTCGCGCCGGGCTGCTGCGCAGGCACACAATCCCAGACCCAGAGCCCAGTCCTGGTACCGAGCGTAGTTGGTGTTGTATTCTGTATTCCATTCATCCCAAAGCCCATAGATGCAGCCGAGGCAACCGAGGCAGCAGCAGCAGCAGCTGGTTACACACTACTCACAATTCGGGTGCTTCTAGTTTACATGGCTCACACTCGCAGTTGCTTAAATTTTGGCAATGCTTTGTCTGTCTGTGTGTGTGGAGTACCTTGGCCCTGCCACCATGCGGCATCATACTGCGCAACTATGCCACCAGACAGCAGCCAGACATGACGGATTGGGGCAGGCAGTTGAACCAGCCAGGGATGCTGCCGCGGCTGGGGCGTGCACGATTGAGGTCGTGCACCTCGACGGTCGCTGCGCCGAGAGTCGTGCGCCTGCTCCAACTGGTTGGGGTGTTGGCCAAAAAGCCCAGCTCCTGGCCCGGCCGGGACGCGCGTATGTGCGTTCCCAGACATCATGGCAGACGACGCGGCAAACAAAGAGTAAAAATGCAAAGTACATAAATGTATTTCCGAAATGCGAATTGCGAATTGCGAATTGTTGCCTTTTGGAGTTCACACCCAGCCGTTATTTTTTGGCAGCCTCCCCACACTCGGCCCCCCTCGCTCTGCCAGCATCCGTGGAAAACTTGGTTTGGATCTCTTTGTCGTCTCGCCCGCTCTCCATTAGCGCATTTGCCCCTGACGCTTATATACACATAGTACTAGCTATATACCCAAACACATATGTACTATATACGCCGTGTGCGTGTCTGCATCTGTGTCTGTGTATATTTACGCATTGCACGCTGCAGAGCATCGATTCAATTTCTGCGACGCCTGGTCATTGAACTCCCGAAAAAGCTAGAAGCATCAAATGACAGAGTGCCCCCAACCAAAACTGTCTGAGCCCCCAGTCCTATCCAGGGACAGCTCCATCTGTACATACATACATATGTCTGGCTGATTGACTTTCCGCTCTGTGGGAGGCAGCCTCAAGCAAATTTCTATCTATTGAATTAACAATTAATTCAAAACTTTAATAAATGATCTGTTATTGTTTATTATGATGTAGAAGTTGAGCAGATAAAAGGTTTTTAAGTCTTTTGCTTTTAATTTATCTTAAATTTAATCACTTCATTAAACATTCTTCTATCTTCTTTTACTTTCAGCATATTCCATTTCTGCAGGAGAAGAACTCATTTTACAACGTCTCCTGCATTCTGACACTGCCTCCATATCAGCGCAAGGGCTACGGCAGACTGCTCATTGATTTCAGTAAGTGCCAAACTCATATATCAATTTATTTTTTAATAGGGGCAGGTATTATGCAGCAATTAACATAATTCTATTAACTGAAGCCGAGTAACCTCAAGGCGTAAAGGCGTTATATTCGCAGGAAATAGCTCATAAAGTATTTCTGTATATGCAATTATGTTTCTCGAAGTTTTAAGTATTTTTCTATATAGCATAGACTTCAAACTTCTTTACTACTTTCTACTGAGTTACACTTACATTTTATAAAAGAAAAAACTGACTATCAGAATAGTATTCCATTATATATGTTTCCACTTACAATCTACTTTGGGCAAATATTGATAGACTTGAATCGAGTAGAATCTATTGGCTGATTTGTTTTTCTATATGGGAGGCCGTCTTTCTTTTCTTAGCTTGAATCAGTTTCCTCGATTTCGTCTTACCCTCGTTCTCTTTTACTTCATAGACAATTCAGACAGTTAGGTTGTCTGATCTGGCGATTTTTTCACTTGCAAGCATTTCATTATATTCGTCTTAGAATTAATAGGTTTACGATTATATTAACTTTGTGCAATCTCCGTTTTGCTTCCTGGATGTCTGCCTAGAGAACTGAATGTACTGTCTTGAACTGAATGTACTCATTGACTTCGTATGACATTAGTTACTGCTGTGATTCTCTACAGATCGTCTCAAAAGTTAAATGTTACAGGTAGTGTTAGGTAGACAGTAGATTTAAGGGAGCATCCCTATTAAGAATTACCTTAATTTCGGGCTGTGAATGAGTTGTGCAAATGTGATTCAGTTCCTTGATTTTTATATGTCTATCTACTACCTTGGAACTAATAAAACTAAACAAGGGCATTAATAACTTCTGTATCTACTATTGGCAATTTTTTTCTTTCCTTAAAGCAATTGATTTATAATCAGATCCTTATCCCGAAATTCCATTCTACAAAACAATTTAAAGTTTTGGTAAAAAAAAAAAAAAAGAAAACAAAAAAACAAAAACAAAATAATTTAATAAATCTAAGACACTTTTAAAGTATTTAAAAATGTTCCATCAATTTTTAAAATTATATATTTCATCAGTTTTTAAATGTAAAATGTATGTTTACACTAAATTCTCTTTTAATTTATCTAAATTTCGAGGAAAATTATTTATACTTTATGCTGTAAACATTTGGCGAAGCCAAACTACAATTTCTTGCAGAACTTTTAACCTATATTAATAATTTACCCCAATTTTATCTACTTTAAAATACAGTCTCATCAGAAAGTCTCTTAACTAGTCTCAAATCATTTATTATTATTATTATTATTTTTTTTTTTGAAGGCACAAATTGATATTTGCAGCTTCTAGAACCTCGAATAGCAGAGCTTAGGAACCAGGCAGGAGAAAATTGAAAATTTTCATTTTGTATTTATTTTTCGCTTGCCATAATGAGCCGGCTATCGATTTAAGTGGTACGTGAGGTGTGCGTGTGACTCATTGGCTTATATGGCGGGCTAGTAGTGCAATATAGTTAATCATGATTGCATGAGAGAAGTCAAGCGACATGCCAGCCATAGACAGTGGCTCCAGTCGAGCTTAGCTTTTCATGCTGCAGAGCGATGCATGCAATTTCTGCATCAATTAGGCGTAGACCAAGCCTTGCAGGTGTGTATGCACACACACACACACACATATACATATATGCAAGTATAAGTAATTTTTTTAACGTTGTTGCCACCAAAATTGTTTAAAATTAATCCGCCTTTGAAATGGACAAAGATAGCGCCAGACAATAAAGAAACAGGCGCAGCAGCAGCAGCAGCAGCAAGAAAAGTATATATACATATACATACATACATATATATATTTATATTGCAACAACAAAAAGAATTACCCCTTCCAGGCGCTCTGGCCGAGCACTTGAGTCATACGCGACTTGGATGGGATGAATGGCAGCGGCGTCCACGTCGGTCTCTATGTATAAAGTCAGTCGATACATGCAATGCGGGCGTCCACACACGTTTCACACCAAGCTGCGGGTGAGAGTGAGAGAGATAGTCAAAAGAACGGGGGGGCCAGAGCGTAGCAGAACGAACGAAACGACATTGACCTTACACTCACACACATACACAGAAACATACACAAGCAAGCGAATGGCCAAAGTTGAGTGCGGCGCGAGCGAGACAGCATGAGCGAGCGTAGTGCGAGTGCAAACAGTTTTCGTCATTATTAACAAACACCCAGAAAATATGTGGCGTTTCGGCCCTTTTGAGTTGGCGGACAGGTGTCCAGGTGGCCAAGACAAGAGAAGGGGCCCAACTGAACTGCAGGGGTTAAGGACAGCGTTAAGTGTCTGGACCGCCTGTCCAAGCGGCGGACGTGTCTGGCTCATTAGCAAGCGGCCAGGCGACCGAGCGAGATGGCCATATGTATATATGTATATGTGTATGAATACATAAATATATATTTACATATATCTGTATCAAGTACATAATATGGCCAGGTGTAATAACTGCATGCACGCAATATGCAAATGGGCAGACTGAGAGAGAGAGAGAGAGAGAGAGAGAGAGAGAGAGACAGGGAGAGCAAGAGAGTGACGGACTACGCTCGCCCTTATCTGCAGGCTAATGTATTAATTAATGAAATCAAGCCCAACCACAAAGCGACGTTGCAAAAGTTTCAGCCCCAAAATTTCCAGCGGGCGTTTAAAGCTCGCGCATAAAAATAAAATTCAAACAAAAACAAAATAAATATACCAAAACTTTTGCAGACAGCGACGCAGCAGCAGCAGCAACAGCAGCAACAACAACAACAGCTGCAGCAGCAATTGGCGGCAGACAACAAAGGTCAGCGCAGGTCACAATGAAAGGGCGTCGTCCTCTGCGTGCTGCGAGTCGAGCAAGCGGCTGCGGCTAGTCAACTAGTCGAGTAGTCGAGTATCGGATACCCGGTAAACGAGCTTTTTTGCTAATTGCACAAACAACAACAACAGCAGCAGCAGCAGCAGCAACAGCAGCAGAAGGAACAATTATTAGTGCAATGCTAATTGACTAAAATTCTTAAGTTGTTAATTGTTTTTGCAAGTGCGTAACGTTTGGTACTGCTGTGGTTGTTGTTGCCGTTCATCAGCTGCAAGTCTGCTCTCTAGTCGAAGCAACTGCATGCGCCTGTGGGTAGGCAACATTGCGCAGTTCGGCCGACGAATGCGAATCAGCCATGGATCGATAAAGTCGTCTCGACGTTGCCCCTCACACTCAGTAACACACACATACATGTATAAGAGCACAGACAGGACCAAGAGCGTCAAAGAGAATGAGAGAGAGAGACAGAGAGAGAGAGCGCCGACAGACGCAAAGAAATCAAAACGCTAGCCCAAAAGCAACTGCGTGTCCATGTGGGTAGAGCAGAGCTCAGAGCCTTACGAACAGTGGAACGCAGAGCTTTTCAAACGAGCAAAAATAATTATGTGTCGATTGCTCAGTCTAGAAATTAGAAAGACAAAAGTTCAATACAAAAAATATTACAAATATTTAATCTTACTGAATAAGTATTTAAGTCTTAACTTGATAACAAAGTCAAAATTATTTTTGGTTTTGATTTTGCTTAGAGTAATCATAATTCTTAAATAAGGTCAAAAGGCTTAGCCATGTTATCAAACAAAGTTCTTGGCTTTTCCATAAGATTTTGTTTTGATAAGTAAATGAGTGATTAAAGTTAATATTTGTGGCACAATGATTTTCGCTTGCATAGTCAATGTATAAGCAAGTTATGGGCATATTGAGAATAGACAACAAACATAATATAGTTGTCTTTCACTATTTCTTATTTCTATTTCTTACTATCACTTTTTTTTCAACGGGTTACAGCTGCAGTTTGTTCATTTCATCATATATTCGTGTTGCATCTCCAGAATTAATATGTGCGAATTAGCCTCTCGAAGTTCTTTAGTTAGTTTATTAATTTCGGCTTTGTACTTTTTCTGCGCCAATTGCATGTTGACTTTCAAGCGAAGATTTTCCATACGTAAGTCCTTTCTGTAATTAATAAGAGAATTAGTTTATAACATATCTGAGTCGATTATTTCCAAGTTCACAAAGTTCGAGCCGTGAACTGAATTAGTTCAAGTAATGGATTTCTGATTGGAAAATAAACTTACACTTGATTACTTAGCTCGTCAATTACAGCTTCAGAGCTTTCTGTATCCAGCAATTCATCAAATATGTTGGGTTCTTTAATTTCCGTTTCTTCTGTATCGTCATTGCTCTCCAAGTCAGATGTTTCGCTTTTGCCATTTAAACTAGCAACATGATCGACCTCTATGCTCTTGGGTTTTGACTGTTTTGTGCTTCTCTTCAAGTGCTTCTTTGTTATCCCACTATTAATGCACGGGACTGCATTTGACTTTAACCGGCGCATGCCTTTGGGAAAAGTGATATCAGTTAGTTATATAATGAGCAATTGTTTCCTAGTGTTATTTACCAATATCTTCCGGCTTAAAATGCTCCGAGCAAACATATGTGCCCTTGCGATATTTCAGATTTGGATCGCCACAAAAATCCAGCCATTTCTTTGCTAATTTGTTGTTCATCGGTAATTCGAAGAAACGAATTAGTTTACTCTTCGTTTCGCTTGTAGAATTGCAATTTAGTACGGAGCAGTGCGTCATGTTTGTTTACTGTAAAAACAAATTAGAGCTGACATAAATAAGTTTTGTTTATTTAATTCTATCGATAAACAGCTGTGGGGCCAACAGCGGTACGCATATCGATAGTGATATGCAAAATCATCGCACAGCTGTGAGTGCAAAGATCATTCGCGTACGCAAACTTAGGGCTGTCCGAAATATACGTTACACACACACATGTTCTCTTCCATTGTACGGAAGAGCAATGCAAAACAATAACAGCAACTGAAGCTGAGCCGAAGCTTTCGCACGCTGTTTTCTTTTATTCCCGTGTTCCCCCGCTATAACTCAACCAGTTGCAGTTGTGTCTGCTATTGAGTGCGTCTAGCGTCTGCGTGTATGTGTGAGTGTATAGCTAGTGTACATGTGTTCGTGTGTATGTATTGTATGTCTGTGCCGTTGGCTTTTTTACCCGAGCCTGCCTCAGTGGGTTTTGTGTTGTGAGGGCACGTTGGGTTCGTCCTCGTTGATTTACTTGCTGCACTCATTGTTGCTGTTGTTGTTATCTAGACTCGAGAATTGTTGCTGCCAGACGACGACGACAACGTCGACGAGCTTTGGGGGTTGAGCTTTTGGGTTGAATGTACGCCAGAACGCTGTTTAAATGCCCGCCGCTCGTCATTCATGTGGCCGGGCCGGCAACCGCCGTCGCCGCCTCGACGTTGTTATTGTTGTTGTTATATTTTCGTTGCTTCGTTCGCTTGCTCGTTGCTCCCCGCCACCCACTTGGGACGCACACTTTGTGGAATCCTGTCTAGACGCAACACACAACGCTGAGTTGGGTACGCGCTGTAAGGGCGTTGTGGGCGGGGCAAAGTTGGTCACCATAAATAATGCGCCGGAACTTGAAAGCTAGTTCTATCTATAGCATACTTATGGGCATATGTTTAATGTGCTTTTACCAGGCTATCTGCTAACCCGCGTCGAAGGCAAAATTGGTTCGCCGGAGAAGCCGCTCTCGGACCTGGGTCTCATATCATATCGCTCTTATTGGAAGGATGTGCTGTTGGACTATCTGTGCAATCGTTCTGGCAATACGATATGCATCAAAGACGTCTCTCAGGTGAACACGGAATGATTCATTAACCGAGATATATAATATACAACAATAATTGGGATCTTTGACTTTACAGGAAATGGCCATCTATTCGTATGATATTGTGAGCACACTCCAGGCGCTGGGCATGATGAAGTACTGGAAGGGCAAGCATATAGTGCTCAAAAAACAGGTGAGCTTAGCTGAGTTTTGATCACACACTGAGTTATTAATATAATTTAATTAAATTTCTAGGATGTGCTGGATGAGTATGAGGAGCGAGTGAAGCGCCGGGGTACGTTTCCCAAAATCGACGACTCCTGTCTGCGCTGGCAGCCCTTTATACCGGCACAGCCGAGCGCCTCCCCTTAACCACGTGGTTGGAAGCACGCCCAGGTGTGCTTGGCGGACTCTTCGTAAATCTGTATTTCCATAGAGATTCATTATAATTTGTGTATATTGCTTAAGGCCTCAAGTATTTGTTGGTAGCTAATTAATAATTGCAGATACATACATAGTAATCAAACTACAAATTCCACACAATACCAATTCTGATTCTGACTAAAATATATATGTATATATGTATGTATGTATATGTGTATGTACTCGTTGTTGAGCAGCAAAGAAACCAGCCGCCGCCGTCTTGAGATTTATAATTTTTTTTTTCTTTTCTACTTCGTTTTTTATTGTTCACCACTGAGCTCATCACTTCAGGGGCCCCAAGATGAATCATGGAAGCGGGCAAGAAAAGCCAACGCGTTTACATGGCAGTTGTTGTCGGGCAGGGCGGGGCTGGGGCTGGGGCGGTCTGTGTAGCAACAGCGCATCGCAAAAAGTGCACACTGTGAGGCAGAGGCAGAGGCACAAGCGACGACGACTGCAACAGCAACAGCAGCGGCGCATTGACATTGCCGCCCAGACACTCCTCGGGTAGTGAGTGAGGCAACGCCACAGACACACTCACACGTACACGCGCGCAGACAGTGGCAAACACCAATACCAAAGCACAGAGAAACAAAGCGTCAGACAGGTAGCGAGCAGAGAGCAGCAAACAGCGAACAGGGGCTGAAGAGACACAAAAACTGCACAAGCCAAGGGAGCGCTCAGGGACTACGACAGCGACTGCACGCCACGTTTATGGCTAAAAAGCATATGCAGTCGCAGCAGCAGCAGCAACATCAACAGCGACGCCAGCAGCGCGGCAAGCAGGCAGTCAGCCAAGCAACGACAATTCCGCCCTGCCAGACGCAGACATCAATCCGTCGCACAGTGGTACTCGCATCATTGACAAACAGTAAAAGCTTTTCAATTAAAGCTAAAGCAACCCTTCATTAAATTGAGTATAGGGATTAGTTAATATATATATTTGATTAAAGATAAGCACACCATTAATTGTTTTAGCCATACGTATGTATACGATATACGAGTAGCAAATATAAAGAAAACGTGAACGTTTTTCACTTATAGTCAGATCTTTAATATAAGGATATATATTAATATTTTTCGTCCAGCAAAATCTGGATAATTAAATGTTCATATTAGTAATGGCTTTTATATTAAATTCTCTCGGATTTATTTGAAGAGCCCGATAGAATGTGGCTGTATGCATATAGATTAACTTATTAGCGAATTGCTCAATTCGTGAAATGCAAATAACGACTTGCTTAATAAGCCCACCATACAACACTTGTACATATTATAATATGTATGTATATTCTGCTTTCAACGAGTAAAAACAGTTTAATAATGACAATTAAAAACTGCATTGTAATACAGCTGTTTTCTTTCACTATTTATATTTAACAGCTGTTTTTAAATGGAGGTACATACATAGGTCTCTTGGAAATGAGTGCCACACATGTTTTATAAAATAGTAAATGTGCATATGTATATCAATTACAATTAATTACAGCACAGATGCATGTTAATATGTATATGTATATATATATCTTTCTGTAAAGTGAAGGGATAATATCTTAGTTATGCCCACTGTGCGTGTTTTTTGTTGCAGTCTGTTGGCTGGTGGTGCCTGCCACTTTTATAACAAAGGAACCCGTGAGTGAGAACTGGGCAAAACGTACATATATGCAATATATGCTCGTGTGTGTGCGTATGCATTAGTGAGCGGAAAGCGCGGTGTAGGAAGCAGGAAGCGAAAGAAACGGCAACACATACGGCTGCTGTTGCTGCTTTTGCTTCTGCTAATGTGTGTGTGCGTTAGTGTTCGTTGCAGACACACACATACACATGCACACTCAGCCAGCTGACGACGCTGGCAGAGGCAGTGACTGCGACAGCCGGCAGCGACGTCGACTTTGTGGCAATGCGAAATAAAATTCGCGCATTCGGCTTTTGATTAAGCAGCAACATTGAGCATTTGATCACCAACAGCCGGCGTGCGCGGTTCGCTTCGCTTTACTTTCGCTCAATCGACAGAGAGCTGGCAAAATAGTAGCAAGTAGCAAAAAGCAAAAGGCACAGTCAAAATCAGAACCAAATAAAATAAAAGGCCAGAGCGCTTCTAGGCGGCCACACAGTCGGCCATTTGCACATCAAGTGGCCGATTGTGTCTCTCCTCTCGCTATGTGTGTGTAATTGTGTGAGTGGGTCTGTGCTTGTGCTTATGCGAGTGTGTGCAATGAGCGATGAACAACGAAAAGAAATTGAAGTTAAACTTTGCAGCGCGCGTGTGTGTGAACAATAATTAAAACAACAAAGAAAAGAAAGAAAAAAAAGCTCAGCCAGCCAGGCGGCCAAATAAACTTAAGCCAAGTGCAACGGAAGTTTACTGTGAACGAAATATAAGACCAGTTAAAAAAAGAGCAATGGAGAAAAAACGGACATAGAACATATTGTGAAATTCAATGCTTGAGTGGATTGGCCGATTGGCGGGCGGGTGACAGCGTCATCGACGCGTAATTGCTTCTGGGGTTTTCTGCCAGTTGAGAACAGAATTAACGCAGGTCAAAAGCGACCAAATGCTCGTTATAAAAGAAGACTTGAACAAAATTTGTAGTTGAGGTTGGGTTTATTTTTAGCGTTTTGATATCACAAGGCACCAGCAGTCAGCGGCAGCAGCAACAACAACAAACCACACAACAAATTTTCGGAGAGAGAGAGAGACGAAGCAATTCTCTACAATTCTCGCCGACAGCAGCAACGAAAGAGTGACGCAAATAGCTGCAAAATTGTTTGAAGCGACCACATGATTCTACACACATTGTAGATTTTACATATTTCCAAATTTCGTTTGCCTACACAACACGCACGCATAACAAGAGACAAAGCTACACCAACACAGAAACAACAGCCGCAGAAATTTTTGTCGCCCAAATATTAATTTTAGACAAAAATGTTGCCCAGACCCACGACGACGTTACGCATACAGCCAAATTATTTAATTTTGTATGCGTGTGTGTGCGTAAGTGTGTCTGATCGGATTTGCAAAATATTTGATGGCAAACTCCAACTCAGGGTTAAGGGCGTGCTCAGTTGAAAAGCATGTGCTTGCACATGAAGAAAGGCAGTGGAATAGAGAGGCGGAGAGTGAGAGAGGCGGCACCCACACACAGACAAATAGACTACTGCACTCGGCAGTCGTCGGCGCATTGTTACTATTTGAGGTTAGGAATGCCCCACCCAAGCAAAGCACACAAACACATTTATATAAATATGTATATGCATGTACATATTGGCATATAAAGCAGTCATGTCTGCTAGCCTGCTGTTCATTATATACATGCATACGTATGTATATAGCATGGCACATACATGTACATACACATGGCAGCCTCGACGTCGTCGCCATTGCTTTATACATATGTACATATACATATACAATTAAATGCCTCACACACTAACACATGCTCGGCTGGGCACGACAAAACGACATTCGAACAAAATTTGCAATTATTCACAACGCGCGGCAGTCAAAAGTTGCTCGCGATCGCAGCAGCAGCGGCAACAGCAGCCGCCGTGACACATCACGCACATACACACTCGAACAGGCACGGGCACACGCATACATATACAGAGACCTGAGCGGCAGCAAGTCCAAGTTCATTATACCACAATCTGCGCGAGAGGCTTAAAGTTTATGAGCTGTTGTAAAATACAAAAGTGTAGCTGCTAGCAATTCATTTAATTCCTTTCTGGCGAACGGTGTGCGAAAGACAAGACGCAGAGAGTGAGAGAAAGAGCGAGAGAGGACAAACAAGAGAAAGAGGCGAAATACTTTGAACGCGTTTGCAAATTCGATTTTATGCCCTCTGTCTCTGCAGTTAGCTGTTAGCGTGTGTTAGTGCATATACATGCATATGTACGAGAGAATTCGCGAATGTAGTGGGGCACGTGTGTGCCTCGGCTGCGCCACAAAACTTGCCAGGCCGTATGTGCGCGTGTGCGAGAGTGTCGGTGATCACGCACGTACCGTTGCTGCGCTTAGTAACAGATAGAGAGCGCGAGAGCGGCGAAACGCCGGTTCTTTTTTGTCGTTTCTCTCTCTATATCGGATTTTTCTTTTCAGCTTTGGCTTTTTCTTTACAGCGTTTCAAATATAGAATATCAAGGGTCGGCCCCTGGCTGCGAATATGACAGCGACTAACTGTTGCTGCAAGCGAAAAAAAAGCATTTTACTTTCGCATTTGGCCACTGATGACGTCACATCCGATTCGCTGGAGTGGACTATGTAGCCATTAGCACGTATCGATGTGTGTGTACTTGCGTACGTATGGTCAGGCAGAACGAGGTGTGCAATGAAGAAAAAAACATATGACTAATTTCGTATTGTTATTGCATAAATCTGCGTCAAGCAGCAAGTTTCTCACAGGCTGCCATAAGAATTGGCGAGGTTAAAGCGATGTCTGCGGCGCGACAAAGCTTCAGCTCAAAAAGCTTACACATAATAGGCTATACGTATGTATATATGTGCATATATGTATATACTTTTGTATATTCATATACATGTACTCGTTTATGTGCGTGTGAGTTTGGAATGAAGTCATCGGCGTCGTCGCACGAACAGCCACACGTACAGAGAGATCGTTAACCTTAAAGCTCGACATGGACACAGCGCGCAAGGTCGTTTCCTGCGTGGCTTTAGGAGTAGCAGCAACAGCAGCAGCGGCAGCAGTTACTCCGAACCAGTTGGCAACATCTGTTGGCTTGGCTTATCTTGGTCCGGCAGCTCTCCCCTAACTTGCTGCGCCCGTTCGTCTTTTACCGTGCGCGCTAATCAGTGACCGGGGCTGGTTTGGTTATCTCACAGTCAGGTACCTGAAGTAGCGCGCGTGGTGGCTAGACGCATTCAACGCTTTGCTAGCAATTCCAGCATTCTACGCCAGATGGCAAGCTACTTGTGTCTCCCCCATGTCTATTGTACTTCATCAGGTGCTCTGGTGTCAGTGGAAACCCGGCACATGTTGAAGTACACTCAATATGCGGTGATTTGCAGTTACTGTTTCGACTCGTGAAATCTCTAGAATATTATGTCTAAAAATGTAACTTTCTAAATAAATAATTAAAACAAAACTTGCAACTTGTTTTTCTCCAATCATATGATTTAGCTACCTGCTGGCGGGACAGGTGGCAACGTTGCGGTATGGAAATATTGTTTCGTTTCTTTGTTTTTGTTTGTGTATATATAAGAATTGATATCGAATTCACAAGTGAATTGTTATAAGCATTTTACAACAAATAGTATAAACAACTGTTAACTGGAAAGAGGTTCTGTTAAGTGCGCTTATTGAAAAACAAATTTTCCACTGTAATCTCAGACTTATCGATAAGCAGATGCATATTCATGTTTTTTTTTTTTCATTTGCAAAATAAATTTTATGGTGTTCGAAATTAAATAAGGTAATAGTTGATAGTTTCTTAGAAACTACAAATATACATATTGAATACATGTAGATAATGTATACCACAAATGCTTCTTGTCAATTTGTTAGTCGATGTCGACTACAGTCATGAGGAGCAAATATGTTGTGGAGTCAGACATTTGTTAGGAATTCTGTAACAGACTTCTGTAAAATGGGCAGAGAATTTCTGATAAGAGTAAACAATCAATGTTAATCAGACAGCAGGGCTGCGTACAAAATCTAAAACAGAGTCGTCATAGCAAGTTGTGACCTAGTGGCGTTGAATAAGGTCGGCTGGTGGTTTTGCGTTAAAAATTTTCGACTATAAATTCGACTTGTTTCTTTCCTCTAAATTATTAGAACCTATAGCATACTGCTCGATTCAATACGTTAGTAGCCAATAAGTAGTTTCGCGTTGAAGTTGAAGCGAAAATCTAAAACGTCGGTCCAAATCCAATAAGGAGAATGCTTCGCACTATCGCTGCAACACGAAACGAATTGGGCGCTTTGCGCTTCATCTTACTCCGAGCTCGACCGGTGCGGTGTGCCTCGAACTATGGAGCCCGGGCCTTGAGCACTGCTGGCCTTCAACTGCCAATCAGGTAAAAGGCTGCTTCAAATGCTGGTTGAGGTTAGAAAGCCTGTTGTGTAATATTGCATATGCAGCCCAGTGGGCGGGCTGTGAGGGGCGGCGGGTGCCAATTGCCAATTTCTGTATGTGTGTGTGCGCGCGCGTGCATCTGTACATCCAGTGCGTGACACTCAAATGAGCGCCGCATGATGATGACCCAAGCTAATCGCCGTTGATAAGCATTTACGGTAAATGCTCAAACATTTCTGATTAGCATTTGCCAACAGCAAGCAATTGTTTACATTTCGTGTGCCTCTGCGCTATCGATAACAGCAATCAGCTGACTGCCAGCTGTCAATCGATTCAAGCGAAGTAACCCGAATCTGTCCTCACCGCAGGTCACTGCATAGAAAACCGATCCTCAGTCGAAGCCGTCTACTGCCGACATGGAGCTACAACTTTGCACGCGCTTACGCCGATCTGCCGGATCATATACGTGTTCCGCTGCCAGCACTGTCACCAACCATGGATCGCGGCTCGATAGTGGGCTGGGAAAAGAAAGAAGGCGACAAGCTGAACGAGGGTATGTCGAACAGTTTACCAATATGTTTGGTATATTATTGATGGTATGATTTATGTTTATTTAATTTTACATTCATCCAGGTGATCTGCTATGCGAAATTGAAACAGATAAAGCTACCATGGGTTTCGAGACGCCCGAAGAGGGCTATCTGGCCAAGATTCTGGTGCCTGGTGGGACAAAGGATGTGCCAGTTGGCAAACTAGTGTGCATTATTGTGCCCGATGAGGGCAGCATTGCTGCTTTCAAGGATTTCGTTGACAGTGGTGGCCCCGCTGCGCCTGCAGCTGCCGCACCAGCACCCCCACCACCACCACCACCACCACCAGCAGCAGCAGCTCCAGCTCCAGCTCCAGCAGCACCAGCCCCAGCTGCCGCACCAGCACCACCACCAGCAGCGGCACCAGCAGCAGCCCCCGCGCCGGCTGCAGCACCAAGCGGCGGTCGTGTCTACGCTAGCCCCATGGCCAAGAAATTGGCGGAAACAAAACAGCTCCGTCTGCAAGGTTGTACCCACTGATCCCAATTTGCCCGCTGTGTGCATGCATGACCCATGCTCCACTAACACACAATCCAAATCTCTGCTCGTGCTGTTCTGTTCCGTTACTAATCCAGACCTTTTGTACAGGCAAAGGTACCGGCGTCCATGGCTCACTTAAATCTGGTGATCTTGCAGCCGCACCGCCACCAAAGCCCGCACCCAAACCAGCCCCCAAGTCCGATGCGCGTTTCAAGGACATCCCATTGACGACGATGCGCTCAGTGATTGCCAAGCGACTGCTGGAGTCCAAGCAGAATCTGCCTCACTACTACGTAACCGTTCATTGCCAGGTGGACAAGGTGAGCGATATATAGAGTTGGCTAAGATATTCTCATTCTCATTCAATTTAGTTTGAAATGAATATTTTTTAATATTATTTATCTCATTTTCAGTTGATGAAGTTCCGCGCACACATAAACAAGAAGTACGAGAAGGAGGGCGCACGCGTCTCCGTCAACGATTTGATAATCAAGGCCGTGGCGACCGCCTGTCGCAAGGTGCCTGAAGCGAACTCGGCTTGGATGGACACGTTCATCCGGCAATACGACGATGTGGATGTATCTGTCGCAGTGTCTACCGACAAGGGACTCATCACGCCCATCATCTTTGGCGCTGACCGCAAGGGAGTGTTGGAAATCTCGAAGAATGTCAAGGAACTGGCAGGCAAGGCACGTGACAACAAGCTGCAGCCGCATGAATTCCAGGGTGGCACCATTTCCGTGTCCAATTTGGGCATGTTTGGTAAGGATGTGGATGAAATATAATACTAAAGCCTATATATTATAATATATTTTGTATTTGCAGGTGTTAATCAATTCTGTGCCGTCATCAACCCTCCTCAATCCTGCATCTTAGCCATTGGCACAACAACGAAACAGCTTGTATTGGATCCGGACAGCGACAAGGGGTACGTTATTTGAGAATGATTTGCTTATTGATCAGTTGCTAATTTGGTGGCTTTCTTTTCCAGTTTCAAGGAAGTGAACATGCTAACCGTCACGCTGAGCGCCGATCACAGAGTGGTCGATGGCGCCGTAGCCGCCGTTTGGCTCAAACATTTCAGAGATTTCGTGGAGGATCCGGCTGCAATGATAGTGTAAAAAACGCAACAGCTTACGATGTAATCCTACCCCACAGAGTTCGAGGGATAGTTCTCTGTTGTTCACTGTTGTTCATATTAGATACAAATATACAATATTTGATGTATTGTACAATTTTCAATTGGTTTGCTGCCCACGACCTGCGCTGGGCGTGTTTGGCCTCAAATTGGTACCCACTCAAGTTTTAGCGCTTATAGAATATATATACAATATATATTACGGTCATGTGTAATATCGACATAGTGTTAACTAAATAATATTCTGTACATGATTTTACTCAAACACACACACACACAAACACAAACACACTAAAAACATTGTAAATTTCGGTTAAAACAGACATACCCACAGGTCTAATTTTATAATTATTTGCATCTTTTGTTAATCATTAAACAGCATTGATAAATCCAAAACTGTTAAATAAACAAGGCACATGTATTTAGACTCCTATTCTGAAATACCAACAAAACGCTTCAATTTAAAACGAACGATTATATTCAATATGTGCTCTATTTTCGGTCTTTGCTTATGGGAAATAGTCTTTAAATGCTTTGCCTAAAGGCTGAGCTCTATTCTCCTTAAACTGTTTTCGTTCTCTCTTAACTAGGAATGAGCTTTTAGCATTTTGTAATTAACAAATTATAATTTACTCAATCTATATTTCATTACTTTATAATTGTAATCTTTATAACATATAACATATATTATTTTTTGTTAATAATTTATTTGCCTTAAATATTTTGTACTTCTGTCTTAGAGAATTTCTGCTCTTTCTTTTTCATACTTTTATATTTGTATATTTGCTTTATGTTTTCTCATCCGAACAGCTTTACAGTCGACAAAGTCTTGAACTTGATTCATGATGCAGTTAAAGTTGCTGACATAGGCCCATACATTACTGAGTGTCACAAAAACTATAAGCAAACACACACATATACATATGCAAATACATTTACACATAAATGCATATCTATATAAACATACATTCATCATCTCTGACCATATTTATTGCCATTTCCTTTGACTTTTAATATCTTTCATTTGTGCAATTTCTTACTTGAAATTTCTGTACATTAACTTAATTTAGTTTATAATATTTGAATATTTAAATATTATGGAATTTTAGTTAAATAATTTTAGTACATGCAACTATCTAGAGTTAGGGCTAGGGTTAGATTTATGTATGACAAATACCTGTCTATGTTGACCATTTAATGTTGGGGTCTACTACGTAGTGCTTTTTAGTGCTATGACAACTTCAATTTCAATCTTTTGGGCTTCTTAGGCTTCTTTAGGCTTCTTCTCTGCATGCGCAACACACACACACACACACACACACATACATAAGCACACTCTCTGCTAGCTGCGCAGTTGACGCCACGACTGCGCTCTCAACTGGGAACTTATAGACAGATGGAGCT